AAGGAATTGCTAAATTTTTTTTTTTTTTTTTATTGTGCAGATAGAATAATATAATGAACACAGATCTATGGACCCATCACCCAGCTTCAATAATTCACAACTCTTGGTTAAACTTGTTTCATTTATATACTCCTATCTACTCCGCCACCTCCATATTATTATTATTATTATTATTATTTTATTATTTTAACGCCTACAGCACTCAGTATTCCTAGGTGGTCTCCCATCCAAGTACTAACCAGGCCCGACCCTGCTTTGCTTCTGACATCAGACGGGATTGGGCACGTTCAGCGTGGCATGGCCATAGATACCCCCATGTTATTTTGAAGCATATCCTGCCACATGTAGCATTTCATCCAGATATTTCAATCTATAGCTCCGTAGGATGAACTTTTTTTAAAGTTCACAATGCTATTTGTCATACATTAAAAAATTAATAGTAGCTTCTTAATATTAAACATCCAGTTAATGTTTAATATTCCGATTGTCTTATAAGTGTCATACTTTAAAAGTTTGTTTGGATCAGGATCCAAATAAGGCCTACAGATTACAATCGGTTGGTCTTTAAATTTTAATCTATAAATTCCCCTTCATATCTCTGTACATCTATCTTTTGCAATTTATTTGTTGGAGAAACTGATTTGTCTGTCCTGGAGTTTGCCAATTAACAAATGGCATCATCTAACACATTGCTTTGGTCTCTATAGTTCCTATAATTGTTAATTAGCTCTAGAGACTTGATCAGGATCAAATTAAATTTTTTTTGCTCAGACATCTTGGGTGGCAGTGTGCTCTCCTGTCAAGAGTCTCATAATTCTGGTCCTCTCTTTTTGTAATGTTAGCAGGTGTTGATGCTCAGTGCCTAGATCATACCTTTGTTTTTCAGCTATAAAAACGAATGGAGTTCTGATACATTCTCCCTTCCTCCTGCTCCCAGCAACTACTAATCTACTTTCTATCACTATGGATTTGCCAATTCTGGACGTCATATAAGTGGAATCATATGGTATTTGTCCTTTTGTAACTGGCATCTTATACCTAGCATAATGTTTTTAGTATTTATCTATACTGTAGCAAATATCAGAATTTCATTCATTTTTATAGATGAATAATATTCCACTGTGTGGGTAGACCACATTTTGTTTATCCATTCATTCATCAGTTGATGGTTACCTTTGTTCTTAAAAATGAATTTCTAAAATACAAAACAAAATCTCAAGCTCACAGATACAGAGAACAGATTGGTGGTTGCCAGAGGCAGGGGTTGGGGGATGGGGAAAATGACTGAAGGTCATCAAAAGGTATGAAATTCCAGTTATGAAATAAATGTCATGGGGGTATAATGTACAGCATGGTGACTAGAGTTAAAAATACTGTATTGCATGTTTGAAAGTTGCTAAGAGATTAAATCTTAAAAGTCCTCAACACAAGAAAAAGAATTTTTGTAACTATATATGGTGATGGATATAACTAGACTTCTTGTGATCATTTCACAATATATACATATATTGAATCACTATGTCACACACCTGAAATTAATGTTATGTGTCAGTTATACCTCAATAAATAAGTAAATAACTGGGTTTCTCATGAGGTTTCTTTCTCTCTAGAATGAGAATGAGCTTTGGGTTGACTTTCAGGGCAGCGAAAGGCTGCTGGATGGTGAACCTCAGCCGGCATTGCTCACGTGGCTCCATTGGGTTATTTGTGCCACCAAGTCCTCCTGCAGACCCTGCGAAGGTCAAAGAGTTACAGCGCTTCATCACCCTTTCCAAGAGACTCCTAGTGATGACCGGGGCAGGAATCTCCACCGAGTCGGGGATCCCAGACTACAGGTCAGAAAAGGTGGGACTTTATGCCCGCACTGACCGGCGGCCCATCCAGCATGGGGATTTTGTTCGGAGTGCCCCAGTCCGCCAGCGGTACTGGGCCAGAAACTTTGTGGGCTGGCCTCAGTTCTCCTCCCACCAGCCTAACCCCGCACACTGGACTCTGAGCAACTGGGAAAGACTCGGAAAGCTGTACTGGTTGGTGACCCAAAATGTGGACGCCTTGCACACCAAGGCGGGGAGCCAGCGCCTGACAGAACTCCACGGATGCATGCACAGGTGCAGGAAGGTCTAAACGGTTTGAACGCAGAAACGTGTGCTCCATAAGAGCGGGCACCTTGGCCATCTTGATCACTATTGTCTTCGTTAGACCTTGAGAAAAGGATTTGGGAGTAGGTCGTTTATTTGGGAGGTGATCTCAGCAAACTCAGTGAGGGAGTGGGGAAGTGAATCGGGGAAGGGAGGAAAACCAAGAAAGGGTACGCTAATAAATGGGTTACTGCTTCGGGCAGCTGGAGCTCAGTTTAGTGAGGGCCCTTTGACTGCCTTAGAGAAGGCTTCAGGATTGTCTCACTGAAAACCAAGGAAGCTGGGGTGTTTATCTACCATCTCCGATCCGTCACTGGGCGCAGGTCACTCTTGGGGAATTAAGTCCCTAACACTGACTCTGCTCCTCCAGAGAAGGCTTCCTCAGCCACAGGAAGTTGCTTAAAAGAGAACTGCATGCAGTGACCTCTAGGTGTGTTGAAGGGACTATGAGCAGAGGCCCAACAGCATATGCTACAAACTGCTGCGTCTGGTGCCCAGACACATAGAACACACTATAGCCTGGCATATAGTCAGAACCCAGTAAATATTGATGGAAGGAATCCATGCAGCCCTGGCAATAACTTGTAGCTAATTGGAGACCATTTCCTTATCTTAAAGCCCCAGAGATCCTCCTGCCAATTGTAAAATATTTATTGGGTGCCTGTAACATGTGGTGTGTGCTGGCGTGCTACTTGGTGGTGTGGCAGGATCAAAACCAAAGTATAAAATACGGTCTACTTTATATGTGAGAACTTTGTAATCTGTTTGAGAGAGACCCAAAAATAACATGTTTAATGACAAACAACTCCACACGTGATTGTTAAATTGTGTGGTCCTCGGTAGACATGCTTTACAAGTTTAAAGAAACAGACTGAGTAAAGATCGGAGAAATGAGGACAGCTTTTATGTGTAAGGTGGGGCTTGAGACTGGCTCAGATTTGACCAGGCAAAGAGGGAAAAGAGGGCTTTCTAAACGAAAGGAATTTGTAGAGCCCAGAGGAGTCTGGTCTGGCCTCTGTGGAGACTGCTATGAAGTCAGATGTCTGGGAAGGCTAGACCCAACTCACAGATGCATCTGAAAATCATGCAGTGCAATTTGGGTCTGCTGTGAGAGACCAAAACGGGCCGTTAGTGGTTTCTGAGCAAGAAAGCAACATGACAAAAATAGCATTTGAGGAAAGGCTAGACAGGATTAGAAAGAGTGGCTCAGGGTCAGCCTGAAGGACCCAGACTAAGGTGACATCAGAGGAATGAAAGAACTAATGATGGCTATGGGTCCATTAAAAGTTTTTTTTTTTTTTAATGGTGAAAATTTCAAACATCCACAAAAGTAAATAGTATAATGAACTCCTATATACCATTGCTCAGATTCAAAGATTTTATGTCTACTTTATCTCTTTTTTTCATCTCTTCTTAAATAGTTTAAAACAAATCCAAGACTTGTCATTTCAGAGGATCCTTTTAAGTAAAAAAAAAAAAAAAAAGTCAACATAATCTGATAGCTGACTAGATAAAAAGGAGAAAAAGGGGTAACAAGTTTTTTTCCAAGGGTTTCAGCCCAAGTAACTGGAGAAGTTAAATGATGGTGATGGAGAAGTTGGGGAGGAGTGGTCAAAGACAGAACGTAAACTTGGCAGGACAGTCAAGAAGACTTGGAATTGGACTCGAGTTTGGGAGAGAGAGCAGACGTGGAGTCCTATGCAGGGGAAGCCACCAGCACAGAAGCACTGAAGCCGTGAAAATGGAGAATCCCCAAGGTTAGGAACGTAGAAAGAAAACAAGCTAGAGGATCAAGGAGCAGGGGAGGAACCAACTAAACAACCTTTCATTCCTCCAACAGCTGTTTACTGGGCACCTTTTGGTCATGAGCAGTGGTCGAGAGCGGTGGTCTTGCCAAACAGAGGGCAAGACTTAAAGTTCCTGCCCTCATGGAGCTCATGTTCTCTTGATTAGAGAGCTGACAAGAGAACCGGAAGACACCGTGTCATAGACAGCAAGGAGAGAAAGTGTTTTAAAGAAAGGATGGGGATGAGTCACGACAATTATAGCAGATGAGGACAGCAGAGAAAGGGAATGGAGGGAAAAACTGGTTTGGGTATTCAGGAAATCATTTGGTAAAGAATTGGCAGTTAAGGATAAAAATGAGCTGGCGGAAGGTTAAGCAAGGAGCATATAGTAAGGAAACAAGTGTACATTACTTGTTCTAGAAGGTTTGGCAGTAGAAGGTGAGAAACGGGGGTAGCTAAGGAGGTCAAGAGAAGGTATTCCTAAAATGGAGAAGAAACTGTGGGTGTTAGGAAAAGGAAGCCATGATGGAGGGGCTGTAAATGGCTGGGGATGAAATGTCTTTGACAGCTTCGTTCTTCCCCAGGACAGACCGATCAGTCAGTCTCCTCTTTGGTTTCAGGGTCCTCTGCTTGGATTGTGGTGAACAGACTTCCCGCAGGGTGCTGCAGGAGCGTTTTGAAATCCTGAACCCCACCTGGAGTGCTGAGGCCCATGGCGTGGCTCCTGATGGAGATGTCTTTCTCACTGAGGAGCAGGTACAGAGCTTTCGAGTCCCATCCTGCGCTCGATGTGGTGGCCCCCTGAAACCAGACGTCGTTTTCTTCGGGGACACGGTGAACCCTGACAAGGTGGACTTTGTGCACAGGCGGATCAGAGAAGCCGACTCTCTCTTGGTGGTGGGATCGTCCTTGCAGGTATCTGACTTGGTCAGGGTGGTGACTGTCCCGAGAGGCTCCCAGTTTGGTTTCTGTCTTCCTGCATCTAGAGATCTCTTACCTGTGTCTCCTCGCACAGGTGTACTCTGGTTACAGGTTTATCCTCACTGCACGGGAGAAGAAGCTACCAATTGCAATACTGAATATTGGGCCCACGCGGTCGGATGACTTGGCGTGTCTGAAACTGGATTCTCGTTGTGGGGAGCTGCTGCCTTTAATAGACCCATACTGACACAGTCTGACGTTCCTGAGCCAGAAGCTGGGACTTTCACTTGTGTCCTGCTGCTAACGGTAAATGCCTTCTCAGATATCAGATTCCAGTTCCCATTCAAGTGAGAGCACTGGAAAAATGTACTCGATTCTAGGCTTCTTAATGTATGGCCATTTTTAATTAGTTTTTTAATGTACATCACGCTATACTGTTGAAAGACTATGATTTTCAAATTCTAGGCACATAGCTATTTAAAACAATGTTCCAAAATCTGCCATGACTTTTTTCTGTTTCTTAAAAATAACAGCTTTATTGAGATATAATTCACATCCCATAAAGTTCGCCCTTTAAAAGTATGCAGTTGTTTTTAGTACGCTCAGGAAGTGGTAAAGCTCTGTACCAATCTAATTCCAGAACATTTTCATCATCTCAGGAAGAAACCTTGTACCCATTAGCAGTTGTCCCCCCTGCACCCCACTAGTTGCTGGCAACAACTAATCTTTCTGTTTCAGCCTATTCTAGACATTTCATGTAGTATGTAGCCTTTTGCATGTGGCTTCTCTACTTAGCACAATGTTTATGAGGTTCATCCATATTGTGTCTGTACTTTATATCAATTTTAATGTGAGTGCAATCACTTAAAAATATAAACAGCTTTATTGAGATATGTCACATACCGTACAATTCCCTTGTTTAATGTTTACAGTTTGTTTTTATTCTATTCCCAGAAGACTACAACCATTTTTTTGTTTGTTTTTATCATTTATTTATTTTTAATTTTTAATTAAGTTTATTGGGGTAACATTGGTTAATACAATTACAACCACTTTTTTTAAAAAGCAATTTTAGGCTCACAGGATTGGGCAGAAAGTGGAGAGTCCCCATATGCCCCCTTGTCCCTGCCCACACTCACACCGTACTTATCATTCACCTCCTGAAGGACACCTTGGTTGCTTCCAAGTTTTTGGCAGTTATAAATAAAGCTGCTATAAACGTCCGTGTGCAGGCGTTTGCGTGGATATACGTTTTCAGCCCATCTGGGTAAATAGCAAGGAGTGAGATTACTGGATCGTAAAAGCACGTTCCATTTTGAAAGAAACTGCCAAACTGTCTTCCAAAATGGCTGCACCATTTGCATTCCCACCAGTAATGAATGAGAGTTCCTGTAACAACTACTTTTTAAAAACTATTTTAATTGAACTCTACATATAGAGCAGTCCATGTTTCATAAGCCGGCAGCCTGATTAAGACCTACAGCATCTAGCTCAAGGAACAGGACACGACTAGCACGAAATAAGTCCCCTTGGCACAACTACTTTTTAACTAATTTCTTATTACTAAAATGATACATATTTATTATAGAAAGTTTAGTTGATACAGATAAGTAAAAAGAATATAATTCAAGTTACCCATAATCCTACCACTGAGATAACCAAAGTTTAGCATTCTGGTATAACTAAATCTGTTCTGACAAAAATTGAATCATACTGTTTTATATCCTGTTTCACTTAACACTATATAGTGGCCATATTTACATGTCCTAAATGCTATATTTGTTTGAATTTTCCCCACCCCACTCTTGGCTTATTTTTGGAATTAACTTGTTTCCTTTTCTTTTCAGATCCCTAAGGATTCATCCCTTCTTCCTCTAACGAATCGAAGCTGAGTGCAGCCTGCAGAGAGCAGCAAACCAACATCTCTCTGCCAGCACATCTCTGAACTGGGCAGGTTTCAAAGTCAAGGAGTTAAGAATCTTCAGGCTGATGAGATTTTTCCCTGAAGAAAGACTTTTTTGAAGCAGCAGCTTCTCCTGATAGGAAAACTGCTTCCGCTTCCTTTTTATCTCACCAGGCAGAATGGCCCAGGAACTATGGAGGCCAGAATGGTCTCTGGAGTGCTCGCCCAGGGATTTCACTAATGTAGAGGCTCAAGGGAGAAGGAAATGACTTAATTTACAATTCCAAATGGTTAAATGTCTTTGACTGAACCGGTTTGATATATTTTTTGAAAAGATGAGAATCCTATGAATGAATTTATTAACCAAAGAATAAAGGGATCATTTTTAAAATAGTATACCAGATATGTGGTCTGTACTTATGTTTTTTAATCAGTTAAAAGCAAATGGGGCTTTATCACACGGTTCTCTAAGGATTTCTGCTTGATTTCAGCCAGAATGAGACACCTGCCTTGAACCTAGTCCGTAGAGAGGAAACAGTGAATTCCCAAGTGGGATCTTAAATTGATTTGTTTCTGCCGAGGAAAGCAGCAAGACTTGTTTGATTACTGCATTAGCCAGAATCATTGTACCAAGCTAAAGCTTTCTGCACAATCTCATCAAAAGGTGAAGCGGATAAAAGAATCACAGCCTATTCTGGTAGTCTTTTGTCTACAACTGGGGCAGGCAATACATGTTCATCCTATACCTGCCTAGGAAGCACATTTCAGTTAACTAGAATGACCCAAGATGTTGAGAAAACAGAGTTCTTTTCAGCAGCACAACTGTAGGTTTGCTCATAGCAAATAATTGATTCTAAAGAGGTAGAAGGTTGTTTTAAATCTCATTCCAGCCCCCCCTTTTTTTTTTTTTTTTGCAGATAGAGATCTTAAATGCTTTGAACCAGATTTGCTCAGTTATTTAGAATCAGTACCAATAATTGTACTCAAACCTGAGTCTTTTGAATCTTTTGAATCTCAAGCTATTCTCATTCACAAATTTCACAAATGGTTACTGACAGACATTATATTCAGGTACTAAGGTTACAAAGATACAACCTCTTTCCTAAAGTGGCTCACAGAGGATGTGGTATTTCTCCCGCACCTATTCTCTACCAGAAAGTGTCATGCATGGAATGACAGAATGAGAGAAAATTTAGTCCACCTCCCCTCCCCCCGCACCTTCATTTTTGAGGAAACTAAGATCCACATTTACATAAGGCCACAGTATGTAGTTTCAGAGCCAGGACCATAATCCAAGTAGATTTTTCCACTTGGATCTTTTGTTTTTAAACAGCAGTGCTTCTCATTTGTCTGAAGATTATGGTTAGAAAGAAGTCAGCCTGAAGTAGAAGCAGAAGCCAGCAGTACACCTGGCCAAGGAGACCAGAAAAGGTTAAAATGTGGTGGGCAGTGGAGAGTAGGTTAGGTTGCCAAGGAGGGCAGGCAGGCTCTTTCATCACCTAATGCTGACATGATTCTTGAAACGAAGTCTTGAGGGCCTTAGGAATGTTCTTTTTGTTCACATTTCCTCCTGAGATGGAATTCTTTCCAAAAAATTTGTCTCAAGAGAAGCTTGGTATTTCCTGAAGGTGATGGTTTTCACGTCTCCTTACTTTACATCTTTAGCTTTCTACCAGCGTGGCAGTTCCAAAGCCACCATAAATGCCCTCAATTTGAACAACAAGCATCTACTAGTGTGCACTATCAGTATGTCACTGCCCTGCTTACATGGTTCTAACTGCATAAGCCCAACTTTGGGTATGACTTTCCATCAGACTCTCCTTCAGTTGCTTCCACAATTCTGCTTTGCTATCACAGTTTTAGTAAGTAGGAGTCACAAAGGCAAATGGGTACATAACATGTGAAACTTCCTTCCCACTGATTCATATTTTCTTTCTTATCCTGTCATAATTTGAACATCTTTCTCTCACCTGTCCCTTAAATAGTAGTATTTATTGAGCACATTATCCCCCAAGCAGCTTGTGAAGCATTTTGTAAAACATCAGCTCAATAAAAATCCCACAAGAGATGCTTGAACATGCATAAAAATCAGTCTTCAGTGAATGCTGAGCTTTTCCTGGGAGGATCAAAGGAAGGACCAATAAGAAATTCAACACGCTTAGGTCAGGCACCCAGTACTGAGGGGTTTCCTGAGTTGCAGAACTTTCAGTGCTAAAACCAGGATGATTGGTCACCCTGCTCCTAGGATAGCAGAGGTTGCCACCAGATATAATAGTTAATTCCAGATATATCATTCTTGTTGAGGTTCAGGATGGTGCTCTAAGATCCAGAATATTTTTTCCCCCTCTTTAATCTTCCGCCCCCGACTTCCACCCTGACCTATGGATGTTGCTGTTTCCCCTTAAAAACTGGATCTCTGAAGGTGGAGCATCTCCTCCCACAGGCGTGCACCCAGGGCCTGGTGCCCCTGGCATACCCAGAGGACCTGGCGCACCCATGGTATGGTCCATGGCTCCACCTGGGGTGCGAACCCAGGACCTTCTGCGTGTAAAGCAGACGTGCTAACCGCTACACTATGGAACCACCCCCAGATCCAGATTTTTTACTTTTTTTACAAAGCAGTTAAATTCTACTTCATGAAGGAAGAAAAAAACAAAAACAAAAAAAAACCTTATCCAAGAAAGAAGTGTTGCTTTTTTTTCTCTCTCAATTTATTAGAAAAGGAATATAGCATGGAACTGAAACTCTTAGGCTACGGACTGACTTGGATTTCCATCCATTTCTTGCTACTTACTAGTTAAGTGAGCTTGGGCATATTGTTTTATCTTCAGTCTTTTTTATAAACGAGGATAATAGTAGCTACCTCATGGGGCTGTCATGAAGATTAAACAAGGTAATGATGTGTGTGAAGCTCACAGCAGTGCCTGGCACAAAGTAAACAAATGTCAGCCACTACAATTAGGATATGGGAGGCGGGTGGGATAGTGGGTAAGGAAGCCATCACTTGCCAAACCTTTGTGCCCTATTTACTTAAGTAGACTCAGAGGAGTCTTCTCCTGGGCCACCTTTCCTTTTTGTGTACCTGTTTGTCTTCTTAAAAAATTATGAAAGCCAAGTCTTGCTTGATGTAATAAAGCTTTTCTAAAGAAAATAAAATGTGAATATTCTTCCTTCTCCATTCCCTTGGGAAATAATATTTATTAAACATTTACGATACAACAAGCACTGTACGAAGCGTTTTACAACGCATGGATTCACCTCATTCCTACAACCAACCCTATGATCTGCACACTATTATTTCTTTTGAAAGATGAGGATCCTGAAACTTACATGCCTTGCCCAAATGTCACCTAGGGTGACCAGTTCAGTAATCAAACCGGGTCCATCCTGCTCTCTTTAACGCTGCAGAAACCCAGTGGGTAACTAAGCAACTGTATTTTGGGAAGGAAGGGCAAGGCTCAAGAAACTTACATAAGTGACCCAAGCTAGATCCTGTAAAATGAATAAGCGTTCACCAGGTGGGAAAAGGGGGCCATCCCAACTGGAGGGAACAATAAATACAAAAGCATGGAGGTCAGAACTGCAAATCCTTTCGCCTTTTTTTTTTTTTCCCTCTTGAAGGTGGGGGTGGGGATTCAAGTGTGGACTTAAGACGCACCGAGAGGCCTTTGGCTCTGCCTAAAACTCACTTGCCTCTCCCCTTGAGTCCTAGCACACTTTCCTGGCCCCGCGCCCCCGGCTCTTGCCCGGATAAAAGCAACGAGGGAGTTACCAACTAGAAAGTCGCGGGGGGCTGGGAAAAGAGGAGAGTGTGCATAGGGGGTAAGAGACCCAGAGAGGGACGAACATGGCAGGAAAGTTGGACCCAACGTCACATCCCCGTGTGTTCGCCTTCTTGTCACACTCGATCTGTCCTTCCCGTGGGATGCTGCCTCAGGAGAAGGGTGTACTGGGGCCCCCCTTCCCTTGGAGGCCACCTCAAGGAACTATTACCAACCACTGCGCCTGCGCTGGCGAGGGCCCTACGCCCGAGAGAGGCGGGGTCTGAGTCTGGCGCGGAGGTAGGCCGGAAGCTGGACCTCTGTTCACCAATAGAAAAGAGAAATCGAGAACCACGTGCCCACGAGATACCCAATCACATTTCCTACTCCGAAATCCCTCGCGGGCGCATTCACAGGATTGGGCGCGGAGAATCACGTGATCCCAAAAGGTAAATACAGCCACGTGTTTTTTCACGGACTGCGGCAAACCATTGTACCGCGCTGTATCTTCATTAAGCAATCATTTGACAAGCCTGTGAGATGTTCTAAGTACTGTGAGGATACTGTGGCCGCTAGGCTATAATCCAGACTTTAAATTACTCTCCGTCCGGTTTATTTAATTATTTATTCATTTAAATCTTTCCAGCCACTCTTCTAGTGTTTCCCGTATTCCCTTTACTTTAATGAGCATCCAGCAGATGCTCATTAAAAGATTGTTAAAGAAATGTGTCCTCTCTCTCCCCTAACCTTTGGGATAATAAAAAAGAGAAAAGTTTTTAAGTCAGAGGATATTTTTAGAGCCCAGCTTGTGTCCTCAGGTGACTCTTCTCTCTCTGTTGTTTGTTTTATTATGGGGGGAGGGGAGTGGGAATAAGCAACAGTCTCCTGAAATCTTACCTTTCTTCCACCCAAACAGGGACTTGCAGTTTCTTTCCACCGAAGAAAGACATTTATGATCCTTACGATTCGTTGAAGGCTGAGGCCAGGTCTAATTTAATTTTTGCATCCCTTGCAATCCTACTGTAACATAGTGTGCACAGAATGGCCGTCAATCTAAATTTGTTGAATTTGAATTTGAAAACATTCCCATTCTTGCCTGAGCGCTAATGAACTACATTTCGTTCCACATTTAGCAATTATTTATCAAGTGCCCGCTGTGTGTCAAGTACAGTAGTAGGCAAGTAGGGATACAAAAATGATTAAGACACCTCGCTCTGCCTTTGGCAAGTTCACTCTTCCTAATGTCACTCTTCCTAATAATCCAGATTTGTGATATCACTCTTCCTAATAATCCAGATTTGTGTTCCAGTCTCAGCTGTGCCATCTATAATGGGTGACCATTGACAAATCACTTGCCTCTTTGAGCCAGTTTCCTCATCTGTAAAATGAGGTAATAATACTTACAACTATAGAAGTGTTCTGAGGATGATGAAGTAATTGTTCAAAATGCTTGGCACCATCTGGAGCATAGAGCATAGTGTATGTAACATAGCATACACCAGTTTGAAGAGGAAGATAAAAAGCCTCAGAAATGATTAAACTGAAGGCGGCTACTAACAATAAATTATTGCCTTGAGACTAGCCTCAAAAACATTGTATTCTCAGCATTTTGTACGGTGGCTAGCCCAAAGTGAGTATTCAATAAATATTCATTGAATGGATGAATGAAATGAGGGAGAAATTAGGTCAAAAGACAAATCCACACACACTCCCTTCATCAAAAGACAAATCTACACTGTCCTTTGCTGCCCACCACATACACTCAGCAGTGGCCACTCTTCTATTAACCTCCGGTGGTTTAAAACTGCTCAGTGCTGGCTTCTCATAGTCTGTGTTGTCCTTTCTCATCTTTGCTTTCCTAATCCAGTTTCCTTATCTTCCCTTCCCTGCTCTTTCTGGTGAATTTCAGGGCCAGTGTAGTCATAAAGCCCAGCAGAGAAACTTGGTCTAGTAACTTAGTGGTTAAGAGCTCAGGCATTGCCATGGGATAGAATTGGTCAAATCCTGACTCTGCCATTTGTGTGATCTTGGGCAAGTGACTCAATCTCTGAGTTTTTAGTTCCTTGTGCATAGCACAGGGGCAATAATATCAATCTCACACAGCACATTCAAATATTTAATGAGATGAGATGAAGAAAGCCCTTAGCGAAGAATGATATGCAGTAAGTGGTCAAGAAGTAGCTGTTATTTTATTATATTTGATGACTGCAGTGTAAAAATCAGCTTGTAGAGTGTGGTGAAGTCTTTGAAAGGCTTAGAAAAAGAAAAGAGTTGTAGAAAAATGGTTTTACATGATTGGAAAAGGAGGCAGAGAAATGAGAAGGGGAGAGGTCTGGCTCATACTGAAACAAGAGCCTACCTCTTCAGGCAGGGCAAGGTAGTGGTTAAGAATGTGCATTCTGTTAGACTGGCTTGGTTTACATTCCTTCTTTGCTACTTACAAGATACATTACATTGGGCAAGTGATCTTTCCTGTTGAGCCTCAGCTTAGAAAAATAAGATTTGCTAACAGTGTCAGAACCTCATAGGGCTGTCCAGAGAATTTAGAGACAAGACATACAATCCTGTCTCAGAGTAAATAATCAGCAGTTGTTAATCATTATTCAGGTCTCATGGTGCTCACTTCCTGGAAATATCCATCTAATTCAACTTCTAAGGCTGGAAAGAATGATGCTCACAAAGACTAGGAAGAGACTTAGTCATGTTCAGTAGATAAAGAATAAAACAATCTCCAAACGTGAGGCTTTTCAACAATGTGCTTTATTGGAGGGTACAGTGTAAGGTGAATGCCATAAGGATGATGCTTTCCAGAGGCAATACTCAATCTTTACAATACTTCTTGGTGTCCAGATTCTTGTAAGCCTTGTTGTACGGGGCCTTTGAAAAGCAGATGGCAGCACTGCGGTCGCAGTTGCAGATAAAGGCCTGGCATTCTTTGTTTTTGCCTGGAAAAGAGCAAGAGGAGAGGACTGAGCCAAGGTGGATCCTGCTTTGTACAATCCAGGGGCAGGAAGAATTAAATGGAATAATTTAGTGGCTGTTCCATTGGTGCAAATTTAGAGTTGACAGATTAAGCAAATAAAAATACCAAAATTTCAGATAAACGATGAATGCAAAGTTTGGAACATAGACTAAAAAATTGTTCGTTGTCTATCTCAAAGTCAAATGTAACTGGGCAACGTGTGTTTTATCTGGAGATCCTGGATGTGATCGCTGCCTTTCAGAACATTTATTTCATACTCCTAAATGAGCTCACTGCTTTTAAAACCCATATAGCTACAGATCTCTGATAACATAGACAGGCAAGTATAAAACATATAGAAAACACTAAAATGTAACACTTAAGGAAGCAAAGTATTATTCATTTCAATTTAGCAAAATTTAGTAAGCCAATTTCTCTACTTTAAAGCACATATTTTTAAAATTATAGAATATCATTACAATAGGATATTATATAAACATTTAAAAGAATTAAGTATGTCTATATGTGGGAATATTTTTATTTTATTAAAGGTATTTTATTAAAGGAAAAATATCTTGGAAACTAGTAAACCCCCCAAAATTTTAAGGGATATATATCAAATGGTTATCTTTGTGTAATAGTATTATAGGTGCCTTCCACTTTCCATGATATATTTCTGTAGAGTTGGAAATTACATTACTTTGGCCTTGTTTACTTTTGTAACCAAGAGAAACAGCACAGATAACACTTAAAATGCGTTTGAACTTTATTATCCATAATTTAATTGTCTATCTTTGCTTACCTTCAATAATCTTATTAAAGTTTTGTTTCTCTCTGCTCTTTTCTTTTAAAAATCACAAATGTTTTCCTTGCCCAGTGAATGCCCATTAAGGCATAAATTAGCAATTAGATTATAAAGTGCACAATGAGATAATTATTTAGTGAGTTATTGTTAATTAATATGAATAAATATTGTGATGCAGGCTTCTTGACCCAGTGGGTGGGGGGGAGGGCAGCTGCATTTAAAAGAAACTATTTATAAATATGCATATGTGTGTGAATGTCTTTCCCCTGGGGAGAGGCTCCATAACTTTCATCAGATTTGTAAAGGAGTCTGGAATCCATAACAAGGAACCCTTGCCAATCAAATTGTAGTGCAAAAATATGATTTTCCATATATTTGACTTTCCAACGTGGACCACGACCCAACTATCTGTTCCCAGGGGACTGTATAAGCAAATTAAGTCACATTATGCAGCAATTAAAGGAATAACAATGACGACTATGAGGCAATACAGGAAAATGGTCATAAAGTGGTGATAAGTGAGAAAAAGCAGAATTCAAGATAGTATCTAGCCTCTGCGTTCATCATTTACCAAGCACCTACTATATGCCAGACACTGCTCTAGATTCCTATAGATCTTAGTTTCTATTGGAGAGATAGACAATAAGGAAATAACTTTGGTACATCAGACGTTGATAAATTCTGTGGAGGAAATAAAGCAGAGAGAGAAGACAGAGAATGCTGGAGAGATGGAGGGAGTATGCATGGGATTCAAAAGAATGTGAGGGAAGACCTCACTGAGAAAGCGACCTCTAAAGAAAGATCTGGACTGACGGCATAACCCAAGCAGATATGTGGTGGGAAGTGTTCCGTGTAGAAGGAACAAAGGACTTGAGGTTAGGGTTAGGGTCACATGCCTAGCCATGATTCGAATGACATAAACCTTGTTCCAAAGACAAGGGCAAATGGGAACACGGAGGCATGAAACTGTTTATTTCTTAAGATGGTGGGATTCCAGGTAACTTTTTCCGTGGCAATTTTGCATGTGAATTATGGTTCTTTCAATGTCGTTTGTACTGTAGCGACAATACCCTTCATCTCTCTGAATTGTCTTCTCTTCAGAACCTCCATCATGGAGGCGTGTATTTTACCATGAGCGCTGCATAACTTAGTTGTTAAGTCCAGAAACTTTGAAATCAGAAGCAACTGAGTTCAAATGCCCACCCTATCGCTCATAAACCATGTGATTTGGCGCAAATGACTATTTTTGAGCCTCAGTTTCCTAAGCTGCAAAATGAGATTAATAAAACCTATCTCATATACACGCCTCTCCTAGTACCTGGCATGTAACAAGAGCCTAGTTCTGAGCTCTTTTTATGAAATAACAAAGTGGCATAGCTTTGGAGTCATACAGACCTGTGATCAAAAACCAAACACCACCATTTATGAGCTGTGTGCCCTTGGGCCAATGGCTCAGCCTTCTGAGCCTCAGTTTCCTCATCTGTAAAATGGGGATAATAGTGGTACACTTCCTGGCACTAAGGAAATGATCACTAAATAGTGGCTATCATTACTATTATGTACCCCCATGCCTATTGAGGGCCTACAAGCCAACAAGGGGGTAAACATACTGCTGCAGGTGACCTCTGAACCAGAGCAAGAGTACGAGTAGCTTTTGGTGTAGGGGTTGTCCAGGAGAAATTTGCAGCTTTTCAGTTCCTTGGCTTGGCCGTAGCAGTTGTCGTGTGTCTGACAGCACCTGGAGAGGTCAAAGGACAGAGCTGAGGAAGAAGCAGGTGTGGAGCAGCAAGTCAGCTTGCACCTGCTCTCTCTCAGGAACAGGTGGGGGATATTTTAGCTTACATGATTTTATAGCTTGAAAAAATTTTAGTTCTTTTATCATGTTTATTGAAGACTATTTTTTAAATTGGTGCAGGAATACGCCCATTCGGAATCACGTATTCTGAAGATGCTACGATGTTTTGTGTTGCAAAGTCTCGCCACTAGAGGGCAGCAGCACCCATTATCCCATATCTCCCACGTTCCGCTTTCCTTCCTCAACAGGGAGCGTTGAATTTAAGGTCCTCTTGGAACGTATTTGTTTATATGACAAGATATGAAAGAATGTTATCTTTAGCAAATATGCAAATCCCCTTTCTTGTGAGATCCTTGGCTCGTGCCCTCCCCCTGCTCCACCGGTACTCCACTCACTGTCCCTGCAGATCAATCACTCACCTGTCCAGTTCATCCACGGGAGTGCCGGATCCACCCAGGCCACAATAGCAGCCATAGTCGTTGTAATCTTTGAAGGGGTCACTGCTGGGGATCGTGCATTTGATCATGTTGCGGAACTGCCACACTGCCCGCGGGGACACGCCACTTCCGGAAGCGCCCACTGCAAAAAGACATAGCCGGAGTTCAAATCATTCCTGGTTGGCTCTGCCAGCACTCCAGGGGCCCCAACACGTGCCTGCTGCCCCCTGATCTCTAGCAGCTGCCGCCTTGGAAGAAAGCTGGATACAGAAACCTGGTAAAGTGACTACAGATTTTTTAAAATGAAAATTAAAAATTAAAAATTTTATTGAGATCAAATTCGCATAACATAAAATTCACTATTTTAGCCATTTAAAGTGTATAATTCAGTGGTTTAGTATATTCAGAGTTGTGCAGATATCAACACTGATTCCAGAACATTTTATCACCCCAAAAAGAACACCCGATACTCATTAGCAAAAGGTCCCCTTTCCACCCTCTCCTCTGGCAACCATTAATCTGCTTTCTGTCCCTATGGATTTGTCTACTCTGAACACTTCCATATAAGTGGAATCATACCAGATGTGACCTTTCGTGACTGGCTTCTTTCACTTAGCATCACGGTTTTGAGGTTCATTTATGTTATAACATGTATTAGTACTTCTTCCTTTTTCACAGGTGAATAATATTTCACAGTACAGATCGCATATTTTATTCATTCATCACTTGATGGGCATTTGGATTGTTTTTACTTTTTGACTCTTATGAATAGCGATATTAACATTTATGTATTAGTTTTTGCGTGAACGTATTTTCAATGGAGACGGCTTTAAACTATCTCTACCGTTTATCCAGCAAATGTTTATTGAACACCTACTATTGGACAGTCACTAATCTAGGAGCTGGATATACATATATAAAAACAAAAAATCTATAAAGTCATTGAGCTTAGATCCTAGTGAGGGAGAAAACCAATAAGCAATACATATAATAAATAGGGAAATCAGATATTGTGTTAGAGGGTGGAAAATTGGAGCAGGGTAAGGAGAATCTGAAATGAAGGGGATGAGTGGGGAATGTTGGGGTTGAGGTGGGGCAGGAGTGCAAGGAATAATGAGGAGGCCTCTGTGGCCTTCCATTCGCAATCTTTTTTTGCCTCAAGGCCCACACACCTGCTGTTCCTGCTGCCTGGCACACTTGTCATCTCACTTTTCAAAAGGCTGGAAGATCTTGATTTAAATGCAAACTCCTCATTACCCCAATAAACTTAATTTAAAAAATCTTTTTAATGAAAATAAATAAATAAATGCAAACCCCTCAAAAAGAAAGTGTTTGGCATATAGTAGATGCTCAACAAATATTTATTGAGTTAGTTTAAAAAGTCTGACTCTGGCTGAATAGTTGCCCATATGAAGCACTAGACTTGGCACAATAGAATCAGGGAAGAAATACCCCATTACTTCATTTGCAGAGCCTTACCCTGTGAGATTTGATGCCCTAAAGACAAAATGGCATGAAACGATTTGGGGGTCCCGTTTCAATCAGCCACCAGTATCGTCGCTTTGCCACATGCCTTACCCTTTCTTTCTTTGATCTGCTGTGCACACTAGAGCTTCCCCATGTGCTTGCTTAAACACCAGGGCAAAGGAAGGGTGGCAGCTGGTCACTCTCCCCTGTGAGCAGCCTCCATGGTGGCAGCCAACAGAGACTGTGTTCAGGTGTAGAGACCTGGAACCTGCTCAGATGGAAGTGGTCTGGCTACCTTGGCCCATCTCCAGACCCCAGTCCTGTTTCCCTCTGTTTTCTCTCACTGTGATCCAGCCAGCTCTGCTCTTTGCAGAGGCCAGACCTACACAGAGCTACTGCTTGTGTGTGTGTGTTCTTCGCACAGGGAGCGTGGCTTATTCATCTCTGATTCCCTCATCTCAACCCAGAGCCTTATACCTTGGTGGCTCTGATACCATCAGTGTTGAATGAATGAATGCATGATGGATGTGTAGGGTGGGATTTGAATTCCAGCGTATCTGATTTCATTCATTCATTCCATAAATGATGCAAACAACACTATCCCCTCCTTTTATGGAGCCCAAGCTTTGGTGTGGTCAGGGAGTAAAATTGTAAATAAATCAACAAGATAAAAATTGCAGGCAAAGATAGGTGCTATACCAAGTTAATAAGGTAGAAAGAAAGGAGAGGGGGCCCTCATAGCCTGGGCGGGCAGGATAGGCCTTTCTGAGCGGTCATCTGAGTTCAAAACTGAAGGTTGAAAGGTGCCAGCTATGGGGGGATTTGAGATAATCCCAGTATAGGAGTTAAGCCCCACAGGGACCCTGAATAAAGACTCCAAGTCGGGCCCGCCCTGGACCTGTGGTCCCCATTCCAGAGGAGTGAGATCTTAGCCCATGAAGTGGGTGGAGCTGGAAAGACTTGCCTACCTGTGAGCAGAGCAGCCAGCACAAGGAGTTTCATCCTGTTGTCAAGTTGGTAAGCGAGAAAAGACTGTGCTGCCTAAGGCCAACCTCCTTATAGCCACCTTGAGGGCCCAAGATAAGGCTGTAGTGTTTGCTTTGCTCTCTGCTGATTTCGGGTTGTCCTTGAGCCTGTCTGTTGCAGGAGTAACCCTAATTGACAAGTAATCCCTGCCAGCAAGAGGCTATGGAAGTGCTTGTATGTATTGACCATCAGCACCTTTTAATGAAAGGGGTTATTTATTTCTGGAGTCTCGCATCTTGGAATCTTGACCCTCACACCCACCCCTTGGCATTCAGCCCAGATTCATCATTGGAGGAGTTGGGGGCTGGCAAAGCCATCAACCCCATTGAACAACTGGGAAGAGAGGGACTGGAAGGAAATGACTGCTACCTCCATGTCTTCTTGTGTCACTGGGTTTGGGCTGTGGGTCTCACTGAATGCTGCTGTCAATTGTGCATTTTGCAGGTGAGGAGATGGGTTCAGAAAAGTGAAGTAACTTGTTCCAGGTCACACAGCTAGCAAATGGCGGAGCAGGGGCTTAAACTTAGGTATGTCTGATTCTAAGGTACACATTTTATTTTTTTTCCCACTATACCAATTCCATCCCCCCGACTCCCCACTGTGGGTTGGTAAGAAAACCCCCAAAGGCTTGGATCTGACTTGTAGAATAAAAAAACGTTTTAGAACTGTCATATCAAATGTCTATATTACATTTTTTTCCGCTGAAATTCACATAGCATAAAATTAACCATCTGATTTTTAAAGTGAACAATTCAGTACCATTTAATATATTCGCAGTGTGGTGCTCTATCTAGTTCCAGAACATTTTCATCCTCCCCAAAGGAAATGCTGTACGCATTAGTAGTCACTCTCTCCCAACCCCTGACAACCACGAATCTGCTTTTTGTCTCTATAGATTTATCTATTCTAGATATTTCACACAATATGTAATACTTTATCATTGTTTTACTCAGTGTTCTACTGTTGAGTTCCTATGTGGTCTCTGCAGCAACCCCGTGTTTTTATTTTAATTATCTATTCATTTACTTATTTTTCTTGAGCAAAGTCCCCACATACTTTTCAGTCCTGTTCTCTCTCATAGTTTTGCCTCATATTAATATCTTATATTAATATAGTATATTTGTTGCAATTAATGAACCGATATTGATGTATTATTATCATCAAACGTAATATTAATAAACTCGAGCCCATAGTTTATTCAGATTTCCTTAGTTTTTACCAAATGTCCTTTTTCTGTTTCAGGATCCAATCCAAGATAGCACACTATCTTAAATTGTCCTGTCTCCAGATCCCTCTGGGCTGTGGCAGTTTCTCAGACTTCCTTGTTGTCGATGATCTTGACAATGTGAGGAATACTGGTCAGGTATAACACAAGATGCTCCTCTATTGGAATGTGTCTGATATTTGACTCATAATTAGACTAGGGGTTGGCTATGGGTTTGGGGGAGGAAGATCACAGAGGTAAAGTGTTATTTTCATCACGTGGCCATGAGATGTAGAATCATCTTTTATCTTGGATGCACCTTGGCCACTTTCCAGATGAGGACACTGAGGCTCAGCCTGGGGTAGAGCTGGAAATGGCCATGACCCGATTTGAACCCATACACCTGCCTCTTCCCCACCGAACCATTTCCCTCCACCCTGGTCAAGGTCATGTTATGTGTGAGCCAGCGCAGAATCAGTCGGTCTAGTCCTAACCCTGTGGCCTCTGCTCACACACTCCCAATTCTATCTCTCTGTACTTTTCCCCTGAGCGTGAGCCGAGGCCAAGGAAGAAGAAGTCCATCTGGAAGGGCTTCTCTGTTTCATCCCAAGACCAGAAGCCCCAGGAAAGTTCCTTTAGCTGAGTTAACACTGAAACACCGTTTAGTAAGCAGATGCGGAAACTGAGGACCAGAAAGGGGAAGCAATTTATTTGCTTGGACCTGACTGTGTCCCCATTTGACGCAGGCTTTTCTCATGCTACCTGTCTCTTTATCTGTTTCTACATCTGTGCTACCATCTAATGGTAGCCATTAGCCAGCCACATGTGGCTATTTAAGTTCATTATGATTAAATAATATTAAAAATCAGTTTCTCAGTTTCACTAGCCGCATTTCAAGTGTGCAACAGCCGCATGTGGCTGGTGGCTGCTGTATTGGACAGCACAGATATAGAACGTTTCCATCATCACGGAAGGTTCTGTTGGCAGTGCTGTTCAGGATGTCACATACCTGTCTCGGTGCCAGCCCAGAAGCGGGCGAGGGCTGTGAGAGCTACTGGAAGTGAGAGTAGTGTTAGCTCAGGACTCCGTGTCAGCCTGACCGATGGTTCTGTCTCCACATCCCCCAGAATGAGTGAAGGCTGCCTAAGGAAAGGGCAGGCTTGGACAGCAAAGTGCGAAGTCCCTCTCATGTGGGGGTCAGAATGAAACAGAGGGCTAGGCACCGCTCCTGGCGAGGGTGGTCTGAGAAGGGAGGAGTAGCTGGTGCTACAAAATCCTCTAAGGCTAATAGAGTGAATGCTCACTCTATTCCAGGCCTCATGCTAAGAACCTGGCACAGACCTCTGAGGTAGGTCCAATTCCAGACTCCATTTTACAGAGAAGACGATTGAGGCTCAGAGAGGTTAAAGGACTGCCCAATGTCACACAGCAAGACCGAGATGTGAGTTGGATCCGGTGCTTATGCTAGCACAATAACACCTCAGGACAGAGAATTGTAGTAGCCGGTGGGAGCCCCGAAAGCCCCTGGAGGCCTCGAGGAGGGTTAGTCTTCCCTTCTTTTCTCCCCATCCCCACCCAGCTAGAGGCCTTCCACAAGGGCAGGCTGCACAAATTCCCACATGCAACTCGTGTTAGGGCTTAGGCAGAGCACCTGGTCGGGGAGGGGCAGGCTGCTACTAGAACCTTCTCTTTCTGGAAAGAGACCTGCTAAATGTGACAATCCAAATCTCTGCAGGGGACACAGAGGTGGCAGAGGAATGGACCCAGCTGTCATTGGGTAGACTGCCAAGCTCCTACACACTTTGTACCATGACCTGCTGCCTGGGATCCAGGCACAGGTGTGTACTGCACAGCGTGGGAAAAACACATTGTTCAGTGGAAAGAACAGCTAAGGATAACTTCTTGGCTCTTTCAGGTGGCGACATACCCACACTCCATCAAGGTCACACCTGCCTCGCCTTTAAAGGAAGAGGGTCCTGCTCCCAGGAAATGCCTAAACGCCGCTACCAGCTACCATTTGGTGAATGCATCTATATGCTTGGTACTGTGCTCAGGGCTTTACATACATGGTTTTTCAACCTTACAACAATCTTCTGGCATAATTGTTATTGTTTCATCATCTTCCCCTTTTTACTGATGATAAAACAGGCTCAGAGAGCTTAAGTAATTTGCTTAAAGTTACACAGCTAGAAAATGGTGGAGATAGGATTTGAACCCGTGTGTACCTGCCTCTTAGTCCAGGACCCTCTTCAATGATAATAATAATAGCAATGACAACAAGAACTGACGTCCCTTGAATGTGGGGCAAGGAAAGATACTAAGAGCTTTGCACAGGTTAGCCTATGGTCGAGTGCTATTACAGATGAGCAAACTGATGCAGTATACCAAAGTATCTAAACCCTTTTCCACACCCAAAGCCTCTGTCCTCAGCATCTGGATTTTCATGACAGCCTCCTAACTGTGTCCATTCTCCACCTCCCTTATCCAGCCAGAGAAGAGTTCTTTATATATTCTAGATATTAACCTCTTATCAGACAGATGATTTGCAAATCTTTTCTCCCATTCCATAGGTTGCCTTTTCCCTTTGTGTCCTTCGATGCACAAATTTTTAAAAGTTTGACGTAGTCCCATTTGTCTCTTTTCTTTTGTTGCCTGTGCTTTTCGTCTCTCATCCAATAAATCATTGCCAAGTCCAATACCATGAAGCTTTCCCCCTACGTTCTCTTCTCGTTTTATAACTTCAGGTCTTACATTTAGATCTTTAATCCATTTTGAAACGAATTTTTTTAGATGGTGTAAGATAAGGGTACAACTTTATTCTTTTGCATGTGTATATTCAGTTTTCCCAATACCATTTGTTGAAGAGACTCCTTTCCACACTGAGTGGCCTTGCCACCCTTGTTGAAGGTCATTTGCCCGTAAGTAAGGGTTTATTTCCGGGCTCTCTATTCTATTCCATTGGCCTCTGTCTCTGTGGTACTAGCTCACTTTTCGATTACTATAGCTTTTGCAATGTTTAGAAATCGAAATGTGTAGAAATCGAAACGTGTAGAAATCGAAAAATGTGACTCTTCCAACCTTTTCAAAATTGTTTCAACTATTTGGGGTCCCTTGAAATTCCACATGAATTTTAGAATGAATTTTTTCTATTTTTGCAAAATATCTTGTTGGGATTTTGATAGGTATTGCACCAAATCTGCAAGTTGCTTTGGGCACTATGGATATCTTGTTTTTCAATCTGTGAACACAGGGTGTCTTCCCATTTATTTGTGTCTTCTTTAATTTCTTTCAGCAGCGTTTTGTAGTTTTCACTGAACAAATCTTCCACCTCCTTGGTTAAGTGCATTCCTAAGCATTTAATTAATTTGATGTTATCGTAAATAAAATTTTCTTAATTTTCTTTTCCAATTGTTCGTTGTTAGTGTATAGAAACAATTGATTTTTGTGTTCATTTTGCAACATTCTGCAACTTTCCTAAATTCTTTTATTAGTTCTAACAGTCGTGTGTGTGTGTAATCTTCAGGGTTTTCTACCTACAAGATCATGTCATCTGTGAACAAGAAACAATTTTACTTCTTTTCCAATTTGGATGGCTTTTTTTCTTCTTGCCTTATTGCTCTGGGTAGGACTTCCAATACTATGTCGAATAGAAGTGACCACAGTTGGTGTCCTTGCCTTGTTCCTGATCTGAGAGGAAAAGCTTTCGGTAGGAATTTTTAAGAAACAACTACGATGCCATGATCGCACTTAACGAAAATAACAATGATTTCTTGGTATTAGCTAATACCCAGACCATTTTCAGAGGCCTTTGTCTCAAAATGTCCTTTTACTGTTAGTTTTTCCAAATCATACCCCTATAAGCGACATGTATTCGTGTGTGAATTAAATATTGTTCTAGGAGGGAAATAGGAGAAGGTAAGGGAAGACGGGGTGTCACTGGGGTGCCTAGATCTGAATGCACACAGAGGCCAGATACAAGCCCAGCACCGTTTTCAAATAATTTATTAGGAATGTCAAACTGAAAATAAAACCTGGAAAAAGAAGTTACAGATGTGGAGAGAAGAGACACCGGAGGGTGGTAACTTGCTGGCTTCGGAACACCATGTAACATCTTTTTAAAAAAATTCCCCAAACAAATCAGAAAACGGAATTCCAGGGCTCCGAGCCCATGGGTGGGCCCAGTGGGGTGGGGGGGTGGGGGTGTCACAGGAAGGGGAGGAGAGGGGAGCTAAGTCTTTCATGACTCAGCTCAAACGTGTAGAAAATTAAAAATAAAAACCAATAAAATGCAGCTTCTCTTTTATTAGGAAACAAAAAAAAAAAAAAAAAAAAAACCACGAACAGCCGCGCATCTCAGTAACAAAGATTATTGCTTTGTGTTCTCAGGGCTGATAGGTTAAGCACCTCACACAAACAATTAACTCTCCAAAGTGGGTTTTGAGGGTGGGGACTGTGATGGGGAAGGGAGCTCAGGTCCCCAGCCTCAGACCTGGGGGAGGGGGACATAAAGAGAGGGGACGATGACAACGACGACAACAACGGGGGGCCTCGGCCCTGCCACGCCCAGCCATGTCACTCACAGTTCATGAAGTCAAACCCTGAGCCTCTTTTCCCTTGGAAGGGGGCTCAGGGGTGAGGGACTGCCAAGGGGGTCTGGCCATGGGACCATCCTGGTGGGAAACTTCAGTGAGAGAATGTGGGGGTTCCCTGAGAAGCCCTTTGCTTTCCCCTGGGGTCCACCCCTTCCCAAAGTGCCCCCTGATGCCCACTCATGGGGGGTTCAGAGCAGAAACCATGAAAGCCCAACCGAGGTAGGGGGCAGGGGGAGACCTTTGGAGAGTTAATTCCTTTCCAGCAGTGGCTCGGGGTGAGCCTTTCTCTTCTCTCGCCCCTTGCCCCAACACTGGGATTTCTCGGGGTGAGCAGGCCCAAGGCCTTGACCCCCAAGGCCTGAGAGAGCGGGCCTGCCTTGGCCACAGTTGAGGCCTGCAAGCTTACAGTAACGGTGTCTGAGGAGGGGACAGAAACACAGGAGGGAGGAGACCTTTGCGGGGTGGGGCCAGGCAATGCCCTCACCCCCAAGGGGTCTTAGAGGGGGTGGGGGCTTCACCTCACAGTATTTACATATAATACAGGACGGGATGGTTCCAGGGGCTCGGCCTGGCCTACGCAGCCCTGTCCTCTCCAGGGCTGGACGGAGGTGGCCAGGAGCCCACACCCACATAGACATTTTGTTCTTAGCTGGTGGGGGGGACACCTGGCCCCTTGCCCCTGCGGCCTGGGGCTTCACATTCACAAACCTAGAAATAGTTTAAAAAACAGTTCCTTAAAAAAAAAAAAAAAAAAAAAAAAGGAAAAGAGAAAAGGAGGGAAAACCAGAATAAAAAAACCCGGGTGGGGGCTGCGACCTCGGCAGGCCCCCTGCGCCCTCTCTCTAGCTATGCACAAATACAAAAGCCTTCCTGGGGGAAGGGTAGGGGGTCCTAATGGGGGCACGGCAGACAGGGAGGGGCGCAGAGAGGGAAGAACCAGGGGACCGTGGTGGGGTAAACGGCTAATCCAAAATAAATAAAAGCGGGTAGGACAGGGGCAGGCGGGGGAGGAGGCCGGGGTGGAAGAGGGGGAGGTTAGTAGGGGAGCCAGACAACGTCTAGAGACAGCAGGGCAGGGGCCTGGGCCACCCGGGAGCGGGGGTGCAGGCAGTAGCGGTCCGAGTCACTGTGGGGGAGGGGGCGGCTGCGGCTGAGGTGTCCCCGCCCCCTCGCTGGCTCACTCGTGGTCCTCAGTCAGCTGCAGGCTGGGCGCTGCAACACAGGATGTTACGGGGTGGGGGGTGTCCTGTCCTCCTAACCCTCTGCGCCCCCCACACACTCTTTGCCCGCCCCACCCCCCGCCCCCGAGAACCCGTCCCATCCTAGATGAGCTTCATTCACACTTAGTACTTTTGGTTCCCAGTTTGGAAAGCTCTTACTCTCGATTTTAAATGGCTGGATTTATTCAAATATCACCTTCTCAGAGATGCCTTCTCTGAACCCCTAAAGCAGCGCCCTCACATATATTTTGGAATTATGTCACTTGTTCACTTGGTTTTTGCCTGTAGAATGAGAGAGGAGCCTTGTCTCTCTTAAACATCCCTCTTTCTTGGAATAGTGCTCAACAAATAGCTGTCTGAATGAATGAATAAAAAAATGCAAGGCCACTGGTTCACACGGCACCCCACCATCTCGCTGTACACTGCACGATGACGGTGTGGACAGGGTTCTCTCTGTGTGTATGTTTACGTGTCAACAGTATTCTGTTTTAATAGCTGTGTAAATAGTCCGTTCTGTGCAAACACTCTCATTGATTTAACCATGCTCCTTTGGTTGGGCGATTCAGTTACTTGCAGTTTTAAAAATAAGTGCCCGACGTGGAATCATTGTGTCCAGGGCACGAATATTTAAAATCTGGATACACACTGTCAGGTTGCCCTTTGGAAATCCTGAGCCAACTGCACAGCTTCTCCTATACCCTCATCAGCGCTGGGCACTGGCAATCTTTAAAAAAAAAAAACTGCGCCCAACACGTAGAATGTGCTGCCTTATGTGCTGCCCAGTAAATTGTTTTCATTTATATACCTATATTTTTATGTAGCAGGTCGAGCAGCTTTTCATATACATGGACCATTGCTGGTATGAAGGTGTGTCCCCCCCCCACGGGGCTGTGGGTTCCACGAGGGCAGGAACTGGGTCCGTGTCCCAGACTGGGCTGCCCAGTACCAGCCTCCCCAGTATCATCCCCACCCCAAGACCCCTGCCCATTTCCTCACCTCCTGCCACCTGTCTCTCGCTTCAGTGATACCCATTGGTGAAAGCTGTGGCAATCAAGGGGCCCTGGAAAGAGAAGAATTTGACTCCGAGATTCCTGGGCGGAGCAAAGAAAGCCTGGGGGGGGCGCCTTCTTTCCCACAGAAAACCTGAGGCGAGCCCTTCTCTGGCCCCTGCCCACATCGCTCCCACTGCACCCACTAAAAGATTCTATGGGGATCTGCATATAACCAGTACCCTGGTTAAAATCTGGGCTCCCCCGAGCTAGAATCTAGCCTCTGTGTGGGCAGAGATGGTGAGTCTCATTTGCACAATATCCCCCAGAGCCCACCTAATACCCGGCATACAGAAGGTGATCTTTAAATGCTCACTGAATGAATGAGGACCCCTGTGTCTCCCCGCTTGGCAACACTGTTTCTCCATCCACAATCCCTTGCCTCCCTCTGCCCTGCAGGCAGACAAGGCCTTTCCCTCCTCCAACTTCGGGGCCTCCAGGACCAGCCACTCACCCCGAGACTGTGGCCGAAGCCGGTGCTAGGGGCAGGGCTGGCAGCGCTGATGTAACTGCTGACCGCTGAGTCCTGGTTGGCTGCCCCGTAGAGCTCAGCCATGGGGCCGGGGCTGGTGGTCCCCAGGAAGCCCCCTGTGCGGCTGGGAGTCGAACCTGGAGGGGGAGCCATCGTCCAGGGGTGAGAGCCTGGCAACCCAGAAAGAAGACGGTGATAGCCCCTGCGCCTTCAAACCTCTTCCACCCACCCTGACCTTGACCCCTCCCTCTGCCTCACCCCTACACCTCAGCGGGGCCTGTGGTCCACCTCCTGGAGGTCCCTCCAAGTCCAGCCATCCCCACTAGCCCTAGTCAAGGCCCCATCATCTCCTGTCGGACCACTCAGTGGCCTCCTCACCAGTCTGCAGGCCTCCCCCAACTTGAGCCCCTTCACACCTTTTCCCCACACTGCAACTATGTGCATTTTCTGAAATCCACATCACTCCACTGCTTAAAATGATCAGCGTCTCCCGAGGACCCGGTTCCTTCTACCTCCTCCTCCCTGCTCCCATTCCTGCACGGCGCCCGTGCTCACTGGCCGCCAAGAAGCCTTTGCACACGCTATTCTCTCTGCTGGGAACTCTTTTCCTCCTTTTTGCCTTCCAATCGGAAGCGAAAAGGCCCTTCCTCCGGGAAGCCTTTCCAGAGAGGCCTGGAAGCAACTCTGGTACCTGACTTCCCCAGGGGAGCAGGACCATCCTTCGAAATGATTGCTTTTTTAATACGTGATGCCCCCACCCGCCTGTCATCCCTGGAGGGCAGAGACCATGTCGGTCTCCTTCCTGGTGGGCTCGCCAGGTGCTCAGTTAACACTTGCTGAGGGAATGAATCCATAAGTCCCTCTGGAAAGGGGTGGCAGTGGCTACCTCCCCTCTAGACTTCTCTGCCCTCTGTACCCCCTTCCCTTGGTTCCTGAACCCCAGCAGGCCTCACCTGTCCCTCGAACTACAGCCGCCGCCGCCGCCGCCGCCGCCATCGGTCCATAAGCGGTGAGAGGAATGGCTGAAAGGAAAGGTCACAGGCGCTTCAGTGTGGCAAGCGAGGGGGCAGCGAGGTGGGAGGAGGAGGCCGCCTCTGGGTAGAGCCTCTCCAGCCTTGCCCCACCGCAGAGGCTGCCATCTATGCCCTGACTCGCAGCATGGATGGAGACAGGTAGGAAAGGATGGCTTCTCAGCGATTGGCTCAGCCCTTGGTTTTCCCCCTGGACTCGAGCAAGGGACACGGACAGCCCGAAACACATGGGGGGTGTGACGGGGCTCCCCACCCTGAGCAGCTCTCGGCGTTGCCCACAGCCACCCCTCCTCCAGGTAAGGCCGCGGCTCTGCTTTGTTCCTCCTGCTGCCTGCCCTGCTTCCCTCGCCCCCTTCCCCTGAGCACGTGTCCCCAGTAAACTGTGTGCATCCAGCGCCTTGCCTCACGAGCCCCCTGGACCGCCAGCCAGCTAGAAATGACCAACCCCTCCCCTGAGTCCCCTCAGCCCCTTATCTTTGAGCCCCTCTTCAGACGCAGGGATCTTGCGATCCCCCTGTCTGCCGTCTACCTCCCCCCACCTCCACAGCACCTGGCATCCTGCTTTGTACACAGTAGGTGTTTAATAAGTATCAACTGAATAAGCAGAAGGGACCTCTGCTGAAATAACCAGTTGGCTTGAGCCTGGAGCCCCCTCGCTGCTTGGCTCTGCCACTGTGGCCCCTGCGAGGCTACGACCCTGCCCGAAGCCAGGGTCTGCAGAGGTGGCATTTGCTCTCAGGAGCATCGACCTCCCATCCCAAGATGCGCCCCTTGGGGCTGTTTTGGTCACCTTGACCCTGGACTGGAACTGCACTTGGGACTAGGGACTCCGGAAAAGGCCCCTGAAAATCCTTGGCATGGCCTCTGGGCAGGGGATTAAACTTTAAGATAGTGCGGTTCCCACGCAGTAGAGGAGCCTTGCCTAAGAGCTTCATGTAGTTGGCTCCTCCTCACTCAGACATCACCTCCTCCGAGAAGCCTTCCTTGACCACCCTCACTAAGGCAGCTCCCTGTCCCCAACCCTAATGCCTCACCACATCTGTTTTATTTTCCTCCTGGAACTTCTCACCTTCTGTAAGTAGCTTATTTACTTGTTTATTGTTGTCTCCCTCCACTAGAATATCAGCTCCAGGAGGGTGGGGACCTTGTGGTCTCATTCACTGCTGTGTCCCCACTGCTTGGAATGGCATCTAGCACATCTACTGAATGCATGAAGGAAACACCTACATCTCCCGAAGGCAAAAGTTCAAGACCTCACACATCTAGGAGAGACCTCTGCCCCCGCCAAGGGGCCATTTCTTCCCTTAGTTCTTTAAGGCAAGGATCCCCAATCTCTGGGCCACAGACCCAGCATCAGTCCATGGCCCGTTAGGAACCAGGCCGCACAGCAGGAGGTGAGCAAGCAAAGCTCCATCTGTATTTGCAGACGCTCCTCAGCGCCAGCATCACCACCTCAGGTCCCCCTCAGATCACCGAGCATTAGATTCTCGCAGGGGCACTGGTCCCTGGTGCCAAAAAGGCTGGAGACAGCTGCTTTAAGGGCAGGGGCTGGGCTCCGAGGTCTGTTTTTTGGTCCATTTAGGCATTTCCACAAAGCCAAGTCGGCATGGCCAACCGGAGCAAGTGCTTGTCACGACTGTAAAGGGTTACTCATTTGTGTGTGTATTTCTTTCCCTCTCTAGACTGCAAGTTCTGTGACATCTTGTCCCTGCTCTGCCCCCAGGCCTGGTAATGTGTCCCGCGCAGTAGGTCCTCAACACAGTTTTTCAATGAGTAGGAAAAAAACCCCACCTGCCTTTCTCATTGCTGGTCAAACCCCCACTCTGCTCAGAGGAGAGCCCTATCACTCCCATTTTCAGGACTTTCTACTCCCTCTCCCTTCTCCACCCCATGTTTCTCTTCCCCCTGCTCCATTCTGGGGGACTCCTGAGCACCCACTGGAAGGGAGGTCTCATCTAAAGCAGCATCCATGCTCACGTCCTCCACACACGGCCAGGTTGGGGGGGAGAGTCTGGGGTAGGGTCGGGGAGAAGCGGGTTGAACAGAGAAACCCCTTGCAGCCAACGTCATCTGCGCACGCCCTTCCCCTCCTCGCGGACTTGGCCTCGCCCTCAGCTCCACAGCTGAGTTGATTGGTCCAGATGAAAGCTCCAGTTGGAGAAATGGCTCCAGTGGCCAAGCACCTTCATCCCACGTGCCCAGGAGTTCCAAACGGGCAGCCAGAGAGGGCTGGATTTCCCCTCTGATAGGTCTCACTTGACCCAAGGTGGTGTGAAAATTTGGAATTTGTTGCCGACATTTGAAAATAGTTGAAAAATTAATTCAAAAGCAAAAGCCAGGTTTCTGGCTTCTCTTAGAAAATGAGATCTGTAAGTACTGGGTCTGCATCCCCTCCCAGCAAGGGCTGGCTGGTACCGATCACGGGCACACCCATGCCAGCATGCCGATGTCCCCACCTGGCCCACCTGAGACCCTGGCTTCTTCACTGCTGGGTCTCAGGACCTACGTAGTGCCTGGCATACAGGAGGCACTAGATAAATATTTGCCAAATGGAAGAATGAGTGACCTTGCCTTCATTTGCTAGGCTTGGCCCTACGTCCCACCCTTAAGGGCCATATAGCTACACAGACTGGCCAGTGCCCAGGCAGAGTCACTGTATTCCCACATCCGGAGGGCTGGTGGGTGGGAGAAAAAGGTCCCACTAGCTTTCCCAGGGGAAGGTCCCTGAGTCCTTCTTTTTCTCCCCATATGGCCTGCGAGGTGTACGAAATCCGAGCGACTGACCTGTAAGCTCGGGGAGAACTGGGGCGCTCGGGAGAGGGGTCCGCTCTACACGGAATTCTAAAATGAAACGTAAAACAGCTTAGGAAGATCCAGGGAGGCCCTCGGGCATGGCCCAGGGAGGATAGATGCACCCACGGGGAGACTGGGCAGGGGGACAGGCCATGCACAGGACCCAAGAGCTGAGGATGGGGAGAGCATGGTCCCCAGCAGGCAAGGGTGGGGGAAGAGACACAAGACACAGAGAGATAGGCAGACATAGAGAAAGAGTGGGCAGAGTTGCCACCTATACCCTGGGCACAGGGCCATGCTGGAGCTACTGTTCCCAGTGTTTCTTAAAAGGCTTGAGATTGCACCAAAACATCTCCCAGAATCCACTTCTTCTCCTATTTTTCTTTGTGGGGGGCGGGGGGGGGAGGAGGAGCTAGGGAGGCAGCATTGGTGAAAAGCAATGACCTTAGGGCAGGTCAGGCTTGGTTCGGTTCCCAGCTCCAGGACTTTCTAGTTGAGTCATCTTAGCAAGTCACTTCTCTCTGAGCCCGTCTCCTCACCTAAAAAATGGGGATCATCAGTCCTCCCCCAGGAGATCGTTGTCAGGATCAGACAACATAATCTGTACATGGGAGTCCAAGCTGAGCAGCCCAAGAGACAAATGATGCAAAAGAACCTTCTAAAACATAAGACCCCCCCAAAAAAAAAAAAAAGCCTTGCAAAAATTTGATACTTTATATTTCAAAAGAAACAACATTGAATAGTCATCATGGGAGAGTTCCGAACTTCGTTGGGCTCCCTGCCACTTATTTGAAGGCCTAGTGTTTATTTTTTGTGTTATTTTTATTTTGAATTACAAATGAGGGTGGTGATCATCATGCTTTTAAATGGTTTTTCACCATTCGGGGTCTTGTCAGCCTTGAAAGGCTCAGTGTGTAGCATGTGATCATTATACACGTGTCTGAAAAGACACAACCAGTGTTGGCCCTTGGGGAGCAGCCACCCCCCCCCGCCCCCCGAGCCTGATGCCCTCTTTGGTGGAAGTGGCAACCCTGGAGTGGGGTGGGGAGGAGAGAAAGACAGGAGGAGGCAGGCAGAGATGGCCTGAAAGAGAACGGGTGCCATGCAGGACCATGCTGGAACCCTCGTCCCCAGCTTCTGGGGAGGGCGGGAGTCAGGAGGGGATGGGTGGGGAGAGGCGCTCCTTCCTCAGACATGCCCTTTCTTCCAAGCCTCCAGCAGGCAGACTCCCCCCAGCCATGCACCCCCAGACACCGCCCTGGGGAGTCAGACTGCCCAGGAACCGGGGACATGCTGGCAGTGCAGACACACTGAGCTGGACTCACCGGGGAACTGGTAGGTGTAGCCAGGGGCGAGGCCTGTATAACTCCGGCTGGCGTAGGTCGTGGCCTGGAAACCGGGGTAACCTGAGGGAGTGAGGCAGGGTAGTGTCAGATGCCTCACCTGATTGGTGAGGAAGGTTCTGAGCCACACACTTCCCTTCCTGCCTCGTAACACCGGTGACAGTCAGTCACGTGTACCAAATAACTTCTACATGCCAAGCCCTCTGCTAAGCCCATTGTACAATTTATTTTCTTCTCCTTAAACCTCACAAGAACCCTAAGCAGTTGTTATTATTAGGAACCCCATTTTACAGATAAGAAAACCGAGGCTCAGAAAGGTGACCGTTACTGGCTGAGAATAATCCAAACCTTTACCGAGGCTTCATGCTCCGTCTGGCTCCTTCTTCCCTCCCATCCTCATCTAGACTTTGCCCCGGTCGCTCTGCTGTTTCTCAGATGCACCAAGCTCTATCCC